ACACACACACACACACACACATATATATATACACAAACAGCCAGACGCCAGGCACCAGATTGACCCCTTAACTGACACTCCGTTGATTAGCATGTCACAGTTGCTGGGCTTACATTACGTTACAAAGTACTTCTTCCGCCGACGTCTTGTTGACTCTACGACTGCTTGCCGATGATGTACCGATTGCGATTGTGTGTGTTTATGTGCATTTGTGGGTGCAGGTGGATAGCATAGCGACCGGAAAGTGTGTGGCACGGTTGGAGTGTGAGAGACAAATTTACATGCGGCACCAGTTGCTTTGACGGGTTTGAAGCTGGAGCGCGGTGAGCCGCGAGAGCTGGAGGGTGAGTAACAGGGGTGTGAATGGGGGTGGGGAAGGGTGAGGGGTTCGGACTTGAAGCACTCAACTTGGTGACGCTGAAGAGAATGGCCATCACGACCGGGTCAAAAGGGAAAGAGCATCGGTCGAGGCTGACGCCCACGCGAACAGTCAAGTCAGTCGCCATTTCGCCTATTTCACCAGCTTTGAAGATGTTCAGTAATTAAGTGTCTTCGTTTCACGGCTTAGTTTTCGCGGGAGGAGACAAAATCTTAATCCCGTCTAAGTTGGCTTGCCAACCGGACATTCGAGCGGTCTGGGGCGGGGCCACACGACCCTTCAAACGGGCAGCGTAGGGTGGCTTAAAGTGCAGTTACTGCGCCCCAACATTTGCGGCCAATCATATCGCCCGATCGCAAATCGGCCTTAAGAGCATCTTCGTTTCACCGTTAACATGGCAACAGCATTAGAATGTTGACCCTCCCAGTCGGAGAGTTTAGGCCTATTCTTTGGGGCTGGGTTCAAATGTTTTCTCACCGGTTCACTGGCGACTGTTGCCGAATCCAACAAGCGTGTAATTAAGAGGCAGTCTGCTCAAGATGTGGGGTTGCCCACCGAATTGTCGATCAGATGCAATAACCGATAAGTTTATGGTTCTGTTGAAAGCGTAATCGTCAAGACTGGCCAAGTCTGTTTGCCTGCCCATCGAGATGGTCAACTGAAGGCAGATATGTCTGCATCAAATGCAGAAACGAATCCACTTAAAATCTTTTAATGAATATTCATGTGCACAAGTTACTGGAACAAAGCAAAAAAAAGACTTTAAATATGTAGAAGATAACTGGATTTCAATGAATCTCCCAAAATAGCATTGTTTACGATACTTCTATTTCACATGAAGGTACATGAAGTAGGAATTCAAAGGTTGATCTCATCAAACGAAGACGGCGGATTCCAGCCCAGCTGTCAATTGGCTTTGCGGGAACAATCTTCTCTATTCCAATTGATTCACCTGTCCCATATCCTCTTCACGAAGTCTAAGTTGTCTATTTTCTTAACTCATTAGCTTGAATATGGTTGTTTAGATGTTGGCTTTCTTTGGTGATGTGCGCCATAGGACGGAAGTAGTAGTCGATTGCTATGGCAAATGTGACTTTGCTTCGTCGACAATCCCACCACAGAATGTGATGTACTAAAATGCATTCCCTTTGTTGAAATTCACATCTGTCTCTGTGATCGAATGCAGTAGTTGACGTGTCGAGAATATACGCGGCACTGTCATGGTGAGAGTCCCGCTAATTGTGTTGCCAGGATCTGGGGCGAGGTCAAAACTGTGATCCAGTCCAGCCTAAATGAGATTACCTTTTGGGAAAGCAAGGCTATGTGAAATCCAGTGGAAACGTCATGTCTATTCATATGATTGTGGGAAAAGGGAACTGCTAGTCCCCTTAGCTCAGTTAAACGAAATAGGTCGAATACATTTTATTTATATGATCTACTCATAGTCTCGAAAGTCTACTTAATAATGAAAAATGGGAGATTTTTACATGAATCAGTTTCAGCTTGTGGACTGCACCAACCTGTAAGTCATATTCAGGTAAATGGCTGCAGTAGAAGAATGGAAATCT